AGTGTGGCTGCATGGACGAATAAATAGGGGCTCAAAACAAACACGCCCAGTCACTGACTGGGCGCGTCTGCGGGCGTTCGTTTGTAACATTTTGTAATATTTGTTGACTGAAATTGATTTTTTGTCTTGAAGGAATTCAAGTCTGCATCAGAGTGAAAATTTTACACCAACTTAGGGACGAAATGGCGCGGAAACATTTTGCTGTTCTAGTGGGAAAATGAAAGTGAAAAGGAAAGACGGAAATGAAAACAGAATTTACAAAAGGGAAATGGAAGTGGAATCTTTTAAGTGAAAATGGAAACATAATCAGAACAACCTTTTCTGGTGGAATAAGCACGAGAGTGAAACTATCCTTTTTCATGATTATGGAACTTTCTATTTTTAATATGGGCATATGCTTGTTTATAGGGCAACGAACAATCAATGTGCAAAATGGCCCGTATGTGATGCAACAACTAGAATTGTGTTCTAGTCTACTATTGTGAGTATGCCATCAAAGCAATATTATTGTTTGAGCTACACTGCTATGTAAATGTATTGTTTTATGCCTTCAAGTTTTGTTTGCCAAAGCTGGACATTTTGTTTGCCACCTTTTTCCTTTCTTTTTCTTCTTTCTCTTCATCTTCATCAATCACGTGCAAGTGGTCGGACATATGAGAAAGAAAATGAAAAATGTGGCTGCATGGACGGACAAATACGGGCCCAAAACGAACACGCCAAGTCACTGACCGGGTGCATCCACGGGCGTTCGGTTGTACATGCTCCTAGGTCAGCCAGCCCTTCTCGCGAAAAAAATCGTATGGAGTGACGTCTAATGACCAGGAACGTTCAGTACATGAATCGAACGGCCAAAAATGTTATAGGCGTAAGAGGGCTGGGATTAGGTGCAATTTTACTGTCTAAAAAATGGAATCTTGATCTTCCACAGTTAGTTACTCAGTTTACTGAATCTTGAATTTGTGCGATTGCACAATTTACTGTCGAGTGCTTTGGTCATGGCTAATTATGGCGGTTATCGTTCTATTCTCCCATTCCATGGATCCTTCAGAAAATGAACTAGATTAAAATACTAGTAGGTAAAAAATATATAAAACTGTACCATTTGTTGACTAAATTCTTTTTTTCTTGAAGGAATTCAACTTTGGATAGGAGTGAAAATTTTAGTCACCATACTTAGGGATGAAAATGGTGCGGAAATATTTTGCTTTTCTAATTTGGGCGGTTATCGTTTTATTCTCCCATTCCACGGATCCATCAGAAAATGAACTAGATTAGAATACTAGTAGGTAAAATTATAAAAATGTACCATTTGTTGACTCAAATTGAATTTTTGTCTTGAAGGAATTCAAGTCTGGATCGGAGTGAAAATTTTAGTCACCATACTTAGGGATGAAAATGGCGCGGAAATCTTTTGGTTTTCTAGTGGGAAAACAAAAGCGAAGAGGAAAGACGGAAATGAAAACAGAAATTTACAAAACATAAATGGAAGTGGAATCTTTTAAGTGAAAACAGAAACACAAACACAACAACCTTTTCCGGTGGAATAATCACGGGAATGAAACTATCTGTTTCCGTGAATTTGGAACTTTCTGTTTTCATTATGGGCATATGCTTGTTTATAGCGCAACGAACGCACAATGTGCAAAATGGCCCATGTGTGACGCAACTACTAGAATTGTGTTCTAGTCTACTACTGTGAGTATGCCATCAAAGCAAAATTATTGTTTGAGCTGCACTGCTATATCAATGTTTTTGATTGTTTTATGCCTTCAAATTTTTGTTTGCCAAAGCTGAACATTTTGTTTGCCACCGTTTTCCTTTATTTTTCTTCTCTCTCTTCATCTTCACCAATCACGTGCAAGTGGCCAGACATATGAGGAAGAAAATAAAAAATGTGGCTGCATGGACGAACAAATACGGGCTCAAAACGAACACGCCTAGTCACTGACCGGGCGCGTCCGCGGGCATTCGGTTGTACGTGCTCCTAGGACAACCAGCCCTTCTCGTGGAAAAAATCAAGTTGAGTGACGTCTAACGGCCAGGAACGTTAAGTACATGAATCGGATGGCCAAAAATGTTATAGGCGTGAGAGGGCCGGGATTAGGTGCAATTTTATAAAATGGAATCTTGATTTCCACAGTTAGTTACTCAGTTTACTGAATCGTGGTTTTGTGCGATTGCACAATTTACCGTCGAGTGCTTTGGTCATGGCTAATTATGGCGGTTATCGTTTTATTCTCCCATTCCCTGGATCCATCGGAAAATGAACTAGATTAAAATACTAGTAGGTAAAAATGTAAAACTGTATCATTTGTTGACTAAAATTGATTTTTTTTTCTTGAAGGAATTCAAGTTTGGATAAGAATGAAAATTTTAGTCACCATACTTAGGGATGAAAATGGTGTGAAAACATTTTGCTTTTATAATTAGACGATTATCGTTTTATTTTCCCATACCATGGATCCTTCAGAAAATGAACTAGATTAAAATACTACTAGGTAAAAATATAAAACTGTACCATTTGTTGACTCAAATTGAAATTTTGTCTTGAAGGAATTCAAGTCTGGATCTGAGTGAAAATTTTAGTCACCATACTTAGCGATGAAAATAGTACGGAAATATTTTGCTTTTCTAGTGAGGAAACAGAAGCGAAGAGGATAAGACGGAAATGAAAACAGAAATGGAAGTGGAATCTTTTAAGTGAAAATGGAAACACAAACGGAACAACCTTTTCCGATGGAATAAGGACGGGAGTGAAACAATCCGTTTTGGTGAATATGGAACTTTCGGTTTTCAATATGGGCATATGCTTGTTTATAGCGCAACGAACAGACTCTGTGCAAAATGGCCCATGTGTGATGCAACTACTAGAATTGTGTTCTAGTCTACTATTCTGAGTGTGCCATCAAAGCAATATTATTGTTTGAGCTGCACTGCTATGTCAATGTTTTTGATTGTTTTATGCCTTCATTCAAGTTTTTGTTCGGCAAGCTGAAGATTTTGTCTATTTCGTTATGTTTTTGCCTATGATTCAAGGAGTATTTTAGTTCCGGTTTACACTCGCTTCCATCGCCGTGTCCGTGCCATATTCGCTCTATTTTCGTTTCCAATAGTATTTATTTCTTTATTTGTTTTCGAGGTTTCTTATTTGTTTCTTCTTCCACAAAAAAATATGAAAGCAAATGTGGCAGGAACTAGTTTCATCCGTTTTCATCTCATACTTGATAGGTTTGTGCCTTCATTTTACTAATTTCTGTTTAGTCTAATTTACATATGTTTGGTCTCAGTGCAATAGTCGAATCAAGTACCCAAACCGATTTCCGTGACGTCTTCTTATTGATCTAATTATTTGCCACTAGGTTAAGTTGCTTCCATTCACTTTTAGGTTCAGGAACTCTATGTCAGCATGAAAAGGTTGTTTTCCTCGTCAAACAAATTAGTGTATTTGGGGTTAAAAATGGTACTCCCTCCGATCCAAATAAGTGTTGTTATCTTAGTTCAAAATTGAGGTAAAAAATACTTACAAATTCTAAAAATGGTCATGAATTTAAAGACACGCAGAAAACATTTTACAAAATACATGATTGACCTTTTAATAATACATGGGTAACATTTTTTAGGACAATGTGATTTTGTTTCTTTTGAAAAGACGCGATGAATTTTTCTTAAACACATCAAATATTTTATAAGTCGCATGGTGGAGAAAAAAATCGAAAAGGAAATAAACAAAAGAGACAGGACTTTCAACACCTGGGCGCCCCTACACCCTCTATGAACAATAAATTCAAAAATAAAATACAAAATATGAAACTTTGGGACATCAAATATGTTCAAACTTTCGACGATCTTGCAAATTTTCAGGTACAAATAACATTGGCCCTAAACTAAAAAAACAAAATCACTGGTCAAATTTATGTGCACTTTTGAGCAGTGATTTTTTATGAGGGCTCCACGAATGGTATTTGTGGCTGAAATTTTGCAAGAACATCGGATCTTTGGTCATGTTTGATCCCTGAAATTTTCTGACTTTTTTCTTGCAATTTTGTTCGAATTTACTGTTCATGAGGTGTAGGGGCACCCGGGAGCTATGGACATGCAACTGAGTCGGATATTTTCAAAATTTCTCAAAATGTATTCAAAATAGATCTTATTTGAAATCCCTCATCATGAGAAACACGAATATGAAACAAAACTTAATTTAGGCTTGTTCTTCAAAAGATATGAAAAAAATTAAAAATCAAAAGCCAAAAAAATAAAAGCACGCACGAGGGACTCACTGCCCACGCACGTGCGTGCTACGAATCCTCTCCCCATAATAATATTGAAACGGTCAGGTAAGAAAGACAACGCTAAAACAGCCCGTACCAAAGAGTAAACACGCCGCGCTAGCCTGCATGAAAGCAAACCGAATCTTAAAGTATTTTTACCCTTTCTTTTGCGGGATAAAATACTTTTATCCTACGGTATATAAACATAGGTTTTCATTGAATTCACTCAATCAATTAATTATGAAACAAGAGAGCTGTTTCATCTTTGTTTTAAAGAAATATAAAAATGAATTATGAATAGATAAGACATGACTACTTCTCTAGACGAGAATTAGCAAATCCCTTTAAAAGAAACTCAGCGCTCCAACGCAACGGTCTCGTTCGAGACGAGAGAGAGAGAGAGACAGTCTTCATCAGCGAGAATCCTAACGTTTATCCTTTCAAAAAAAAAAAGAATCCTAACGTTTAGACGCACTTGATTTGAACGGCACCGCTCACGCCTTTCGCCCTGCACAACTGCTACCGGCGCCTATCCGTTTTCCTTGTGCGCGCGCTCCTGCCAAAACAGCAACCGCACTGCTGTTGCAAGAACTAGACATCGCCCTGCGTACACGCACCCATCTCCCCCGTAGACACTCATGAGTCTGGCGTGACGACCGAACCTCTCTATAAGACACCGCCAACGCGCGCGTTCGACTTCGATCACGCCACTCCAGAGACCAGAGTTTAGCAATGGCGGCCGGGCGAGCGTGTGCTCTTAGCGCGGTGCTTGTGGTGGTGGTGGCGCCGCTCCTCCTGGCCGGCGTGGCGGACGCCGACTGCTTCGACTACTGCTTCAAGGACTGCATCGCCAAGGACAAGAACATGATCGACTACTGCAACTACGCCTGCGACAAGACCTGCTACACGGGCGCGCCCCAGCGGCCCTTGGCGGCGGCTGCCGCCCCCGGCGACATGGGATGCCAGCTCTCCTGCGCCAGGACTTCCTGCCACCGTCTTGATCCAGGTAATCAGATTGGCACAGTTCATGTGCGCCATGAATTAGTAATGCGCAACCACTGCACTCACGTATGATGAGCCGACAACGACGATGTGGTGGTAAACTCTTTTTGCAGACCGCGAGGCCGCTGAGGCCTGCTTCGGGCAGTGCTATGACGGCTGCAAGACCAAGACTCTGCCGAGGCCTCTCCGCGCCGGCGCCGGGATGCCCACCACGTTAGGCCCGGTGGTCGCCGACCTTCCTTCATCCGAGCCGGACCCGGATGATGCGGTCCGTGCGTCGTCAGAGGCGCCCGAACATCAGGCGATGGGGCCACGTACACCGTTTTCGGAGATCCACGCTGCTCCTCCGGCGTCTGCGTAACAAGAATACCTCGGCGTACGGCCGTGACAGTTAGCATTGGCCGACCAATCGATATGTAAGCGCAATCACCAGGTGCGGAGGGATTAGCGCATGGACCAAAAAGCCGCGTGCTAATGGGTGTACACGTATTATTTGTAACACTGCTGAATGAAGTGTCTTAGGCTACTTGTAACGGGAAGTTCTCTGTATCAATATAGTGTACGGGTTTGTTAAACTCAGGTAACGGAGATTAAATTCAGTGGGCCATCCAGAATTACAAAATTTAAAGAACTCGCTGAGTTAGAAAAGGTGGACAAGGCTGCATTCTTGAGTCTGGATATATGCACTAGATGGAATGTCACGTATCTTATGTTGAAAACCGCAATCAACTACAAAAAAATGTTTGTGAGGTATGAGGAGGAAGACCCACTCTATACGTTGGATTTAAACATTGAGAAAGCTCTTGGTACTCTCTTGATAGTGATTAGGACAATGCTAAGAAAATGGCTGAATTTCTTGGACATTTTTATGAGCTCACTCTTAGTGTTTCCGCCACACTCCATGTGATATTTTGCTGAAGTTAATGTTGTGTTGGAAATGTGGGCTGACAATGATGATATTTTGCGTAATACATGGCCAAGAAAATGCAAGATAAGTATGATAAGTATTGGGGGCCTTGGCATGAGGAGGTGGTGAATGAGAATGACAAGGGGGATGGGAAAGCAAAGAAAAACGAAGAGGAGAGTGTGAACATGTTTGTATTTGTTGCAGCTGTTCTTGATCCAGGATTCAAGCTATCAAATTACATAAAACTAGCCATTGAAGAAACGTATGCTGAGTTAAATGGAGACAAAGTTTGGGAGAAGGTGAAAACCTTTTTGCATGCTTTGTTTGCAGAGTACAAAGCTATGTCCGCACCAAGTGATGCAAGTTAGCATGTGGGTGCTCCACAATCTGAACCAACTCAAAAAAGGGCAGGAAGGAAATTGGTCCCTTGGATAAATAAAAAGCTGAGAGTTGTTGGTGGTGGTGGTGAAACTAGCATGAGGAAATCTGAACTTGAGAATACCTACATGAAGAGAATGAAGCAAATAGTGATGATTTTTACACTCCAAAATGGTGGAAGGCGTATGCTGCTAGATTCCCAATATTGGTTAGGATGGTCGTGATGTGTTAGATGTCCCAGCATCAACGGTTGCATCGGAGTGGAGATTTAGCACAAGTAGATGTATCCTAAATGATTTTAGAATCTCACTTACCCCATTCATGGTCCAAGGTCTTGTTTGTACCCAAGATTGGCTAAGGAGTTCTACTACTATCAACATTGAAGAAGGTACAGTGGAGTTGTTAATGCTGGAAAAGGGTAACATGCTGTGATTGTTTTCTATGTAATTTTCTTTATTTCTGACTTTGTATGTTTATTACATGTTTATTTCATTCTTTTTCAAAACTAATTGAAGAGTTGGTAGTACAACAATCATCCAAGTTGAAGGCCCTCCAAGCTAGCAATAGGAAGTCTATTTGCAAGCCATCTGGGCCATCTTGCGCAGCTCCATCCTCTACTTTAAACATTCGTGAATGAGTTACAAGAATTGTCTTGATCATCACTCAATTGTTGTAGTACAAGAAAGATGCTCATGTTCTTGTTCTAGCTTTCTATTATTATCATTTGCAATATATGTTACAAAAAAGATGTTCATGTCTATTTATGTTACAAGAAAGATGCTCCTGCTCATATCTATATATGTTACAATAAATATGCTCCTATTCATGTTTAATTGTCTATATATATTACAAGATGCTCCTCATCATGTCTATTATATATTACAAGAAAGATATTCTTGTTCATATCTATATATATTACAAGAAAGATGCTCATGTCCATGTTTCTAGCTTTCTAGTTTCTACTATTACCATTCACTAGTACACGTCCGTGCTATTAAGACCCCACCTTCGCACATGATGAAGAAAAAAGCATGTGTGATGAACACATCACACACAAATATAAAAATAGAATTGTGTGTTGAAAAAACGAACATGTGCGAAGCTGGACTCAACACACACACTTATTTGTAAAAATTGTTTTCGATTCGTTGGACACGGTTCGTGTAAACTAAATGTGTGTAATGATTTCCTCATCAGAGACCGTTCAATTGTAGGACTTGTGGAAGATGCACTGCAAACATTTTAAAGAATTGAACTGTATGCGTTGATTTCAGTCATCATGCATGGTTCTTTCGCTAGAACTCTGTGTAATTTATTTTTTAGTAATACCAAATAGTTCATGTGTGTTGTTGCAAAACCACACATTAGTAGATGGATAAGAACTAGTGGCAGTCCACGTGTCTTGTCAAATCAATCGCCCCTGCAGCAAGGACAGACATGGACTGGACTTTACTAGTTTTGTTCCTAGCGGAACGCTCGTCGGCGCGCATCCGTCCCGCCAATTTTTCACCCACTGTCATGCGTCGCCGCCACAATGGTACAATGCGAGTGTCGGTGCCTCTCTTCCCGTGCGTCTTCGAGCCTTATAGGCCAAACGTGGTGGGTGGCGGCTCTACAAAACCCCCGATAGCCTGAGAGGTCAAGAAAACCCTCATTTATCCGCTACCGCCGATCGTTCCAATGGCACCGATACGCTAGAACGACGAGAGGGAGGGTTGGCGCTTGGTTTTTCTACCGCATGACACATGCTCAACAAGCTTTGCTAGCGTGCATTCTTTGGGCCCCTGAAGAAAAACGTAAAAATACCTTTGAGTATTTACCAAACTGCTAAGAGTGGAGGAGTTGCAAGCTCTTCCAGCGGGACAGACTAGAGGTCAGGCCCTTGAGGCATCTCTTCTGCTAGAGATGGGTCTCAGTGAGAACCTGCTATGGAAAAGAAACCTTCGGATGGTGAAGTATCAAGCCCTTTGAAAAATCCTAAAGACAAGGGGTGCTCAAGCCATGGGGTCGAGGGACCGATCAGCCATGAACTTTTCCTAGATGAAAGCTTGGTGAAGGCTAACACTGCTAAGAAAAGGAAAAACACGAAAATTTCGGGCGATAAACCTCGCAAGGCGGGAGTGGTTGTAGAGAAGATATTGATGCTAGAACGTACAAATGACTTATGTCGGTATGGCAGTTGAGGGGCTGTTGGGCGTGCAACCCGATGATGGAAAGGGTTCTGCAAATGAAACTATCAAGAAGCATAAAAAGAAGGATTCAGATTTAACTCGATATCGGTGGAGGCTACCAGTGTGGTGCAGCCCTGTCGGGCGCAATGAATATCCTTAGTCTGAAATAATGAGGTTCTGGAAAGCCTGAGGCAGTTCATGAACTGTGCAATCTTGTGGACATGTTGCACCTAACGGTTGTCTTCTTGTCCGAGACCAAAATGCTTGCGAAGAAGTCCAAAGCTTTGGGGAATCAGCTAGGTTTCCTTAAAGCTTCTAGTGTTGAATGCACTGGCTTGAGTGGCCTAGTGATTTGCTGGACTAGTGATGTGATTGTGCGGCATAAGTCTTGTAACAAGTCACATATTGACGCCTGGGTTGCTTCCAGCGTGGGTGTTGGCAGAACTTGGAGGTTCATGGGTTTTCAGGATTTGCGTCAATTCAATCTAGCTATGCTTGGTAAACAAGGATGGAGACTCCTCACAAATTTGAACTCTCTATGCGCTCAAGTGTTGAAAGGAAAGTACTTCCATGACTCTGACTTTTTGTCGGCTAGGAAGAAGAGGAACTGTTCTCACACCTTGGGTGCTATTTTGAAGGAAGGACTGATCTTGAGATGGGGTTTATCAGAAGGATCGGGGATGGTGTCTGAACCAACATTTGGCAGATTCCTGAAGCTCCGGGCAACATACCTCTTTTCAAAAAACCTGAAGCTAGCGCCTTTGTTGTGTTGTCTAAGCTCATTAGCCCAGATGGTAATTAGAATTTGAACTCTCTCGAAAAAAATTGTGGTCCTGACATGCGTGCTCCGAGTTGTATTCCCTTGGGAAAGCTCTCTGAAGATTTCTGGGCGTGGTCTCCCGAATAACATGGGAATTGTTCGGTTAGATCAGCCTACCTCTCATTGATTAATGAGTCTCGCATGATCTCTAATTGGGCCACATACTCTCACGCTGATAATGACCTGATTTGCAAGAAGTTGCGGAGTACCAAGGCTCCCTCCCAGGGTGCGCTCTTTTTGGTGGAGGGTTATCCACAAGTTTTGGCCTGTTAACTCTAACTTGGCGTGAAGGCGTATTGAAGTTCCCAAGTTCTGTGTGGATTGTGGCAACCCAGAAGAAAGTTCCTTTCACTCCATGATACATTGTACGTACGCAAAAAGCTTGTTGCCACCATATGAAGAGTACTTGGGGCATAAAACTTCTTGTCTTCCATCCTCACACCTGGGTCAAGGATCTTCTGCACCCTGGTAATTGCAGCTCTTCCATCCTTCTCAATATTCCGTGTAGTATGCGGGCAGTCTGGAGCGCTCACAATGGTAGGAGACACGATGAACCTATGGCACATTTCGGTTGCTTGTCGTTGGGCAAGCGATCTGGCCTTTGATCTTTCTCAGCCAACCTCTCCCTCTGTGTTGCCAGCTAACCGCAGAAGTGATCTCATGGAATGCTCCTCATACTGATGTCATCAAAGTAAATGTGGATGTAGCCTTTAATGCTAGTAATTTTAATGGGTCCTCCGTGTGGTGGTCAGAGATGTTGATGGCTTGCTTCTCGCTGCTAGGTCTAAATGGTACTCTGCTCTGCCGAATGCCTTGGTTGCTGAAGCTCTTGCATGCAAGGATGGTGCTCGCGTTGTTCATAATTGGAGATCGAGACATATCATGGTGGAGTCGGGCTACATGTCCTTAGTGCACCGTGGAAGTCCGGAACTGAGCACATGTCAAGCATTCTGCCCATTCTGTTGCAGATTGAAGAACTAAGCAAAAAAAATTCTTTCTTCTAATTTATCTTATGTTAAACGGGATGCAAATGTGGCTACTCACCTTACAACCAAGAGTGTTATAGCCTCTAGTCCTCTATGTAT